TTTTAAATTATATAAATAATTAGGATAAACATGTAGGATTTTTTATTTTTGGGATGAGTTCAAAAGTCAGGGATTAACCATACACAATTCAAAAATCTAGTTTTAAGTTTGACTAATGCAAAAATCAGGTTTTGGTTAATTAATTAAAAATATTTATTAATTAAATATAATAAAATCACAGTTATATAATTAATTGTCATATATATATAATTATAGGTCAAATGTCACATATTTTAAAATTAATTGATCACAGATTATTTCGAGGTCACAAATTTTTAAATTAGCTGGTAACAGATTATTTTTGAGTCACATATTATTAAATTTTTAGGTCACAGTTGAGTAATTGATTACAAATTACCAAACATTTGGTCATAGATTGCCGCCACTACCATTATGTTCACTTTTGACCACTCTCTCCACGTCTCCACCGTCACAACAGCACCAACAATGACATAGACAACCACCTCCACCACCAAACAACCACTGTCATCGCCACAACAACAAAAAATACCACCGCCACCTGCACCAGCAGAACCTACCACCATCGACGCCTACACCACCAACAAAAATCGCCGCTGCAACACCACAACAAAAAAACCTTGCGCCTGCACCATCACCACAACCAAAACGTGGCGCTTGCACCACCACAACCACCAAAACTGCGGTGGTGTCGAAGAGAGGATAGAGAGAGAGAAGGCAGATCGAAAACCAAAAGCCGTTCTCAGCAGCTACGCTGTTCTCAACCACCACCATCGCGATTTTGGGATCAGAATCGCTAGCTAGTCGACTTAGATTCGAGCAAATATAGCGTTATCATGCGTGAAGATGAGCACTGCCATCGCAGCGTTATCACCATTGCATGCGACACTCACAGAAGCCACTCATAGCATCAGCCCCCAGTGGTGACGCCGCCGTGCAGGCGGTTTCTTCCAAGGTGGCGCCGCTACTGCTGAGAGAGAAGAGAAGACGAATGCGTTTGGAAGGAGAGAGAAGTAAGACGGGGAGGGAGAGAGGAGTGAGACGGGCTATTGAAATGATTATGTTTAATTAGGGTTTTAATTATTAATACCTAATTTTTGATTAAATAAATCTTAAATCTGATTTTTGAATTTGAAAACTTAAACGCTTGGTTTTATGTAATTTTCCCAAAATAAATTTTGAACTGCAGGCCATTTGGGCTAAATCCCAAAAATACGGGCCTGAACCAGATAGGTTTCTAGGCCCAATTCATGGGGTAATATTTTAAACCCTAACGC